CCCTCCCCACCACCATTTTCAAGCCAGACCCACTCCCCCTGCCCCCTCCATCTGCCCAGCCTGTGTCTGCCTTCTTCCCCTCCCCATGAATGACATGGGAGGCGTGGACAGAGCACCGCCACCCAGCACCCTGTGCCACTGTCGCATCCAGGGAGCAGGGGGTGGGGGGTGAGGCCAGCACTGCTAGCCTCGTCCCCTCCTCTGTCTACTCCATCACCACCACCTCCTGGGAGCAGGACGTGGGGGGAGAAACGAGGCCAGCTGTGCTGGTCTTGCCCCCCTGCTCCTTCCCCTCTGCCCCCACTGTCATGGCCTGCTCTTCCCTCATGCCACAGCAGGCCTGGGCCCGTTCCCCGCCTCCCTCACGCCACTGCCCCAGGTCCAACACTGATTCCCCACCTGCCTTGCACTGCTGCCTCCAGCTCCTCCATGGAGCTGTGGGGGGTGGGTCACTGCCCTCTATCACTGCTGTCATGGTGGCGGTCCACCACCACCTGCAGTCTGAATGCTTTTGGAGCACTCTGATTGGCTGCTGAGACAGCCAATCAGTGTGAATAAAGCATTATGGACAGACACAGACAGACGAACCACAGCTTTTATAATATTAGAATCATGGAATAAAAATGCACTATACCCTTACTCCCACATAGCCCAGCTCTACATTAGGATGGCCAAACTTAAGGACACTTGAAGCTATTGCAGAAGTGGGACTGAGATATTTTGCACCAGCTCCACTAGAGCAGGATATGCAGCCATGCAGACGCAAGGGCCGTAAGGAAATTATATCTTCAAAGCAGTCTTTCATAGATCCCAGGTACTTTCTTTCCCTGAAGAGGGATTGTGTGGGGTTAGTGCAGCCCTGCAGCATCCAGAGAGGCAACACAGGATCACTCATATGGGTATTACACAAAAAATAAGGTCATTTGAGAAAGCTTGATGGACTTTCAGCAGGAATGCAACCCTTTCCATTCTAAACCCACTACCACAAGAGGGCAAACCCTTCCATGAGAGACCACCTTTCTCCTCCCTGACTGTTCTAGATTACAGTCGTCATTCAGGTTCATTTTTCCTATTTAAGTGCCAATAAAGCTTTGCTCTGCTAGGCTGCCTATAGCCCATGAAAACCCGTTTCCTACTTCTCTCAACCAGAACATTAAAGGCATTCTGACATCTTTATCCAGTAACCCAAATACCGCAATTAGTGAAGGCAGACTTTTTTTTAGCACATATCAATATAGACCATACTGTAGCTTTGCATAAGCCTCAAATGTGAGATCAGGGTTTTTTTTAATAGTACCTGTCAGCAGGTCCATCAAGTACCCCCCCCATCCTCATATTTCCCGCCTGCCACGACTTGGATCTTAAAGAAATGAAATAGGGAGGAAGTGGTTGTTATAGGAGAAAGTACCCGCAGGAAGTACCACGCTGAAATAAACTTACTTTTAGTGCTTTTATTCAGTGGTTTGCTGTTGTTAACAGGGGACTCCCCTTTTGTGGGAGATTGCAGTCCAAAGGGTTAATCTTGGGGTCTCCAGCCTCCTGGCTGGCCCCCTTTCTAGTGTTACAGTCCATGGAAGCCGCGCTGCCTTTATCTAGTTACCCTATTAGCGGCTTGTTACAGCCGCGGTTAGGCCTATCATTGCTGCTAATGAGCCAATTAGTGGCTTGTTACAGCCGCCACCTGCGGCTTTCTCCGGCAGAACCAGCGTGCAGGCTCCACGGCTCTCCCTTGATCTCCTGGTCCTCACCGTCTTGCTCCCCTTGGCGGGGGGAGTCCTAGAGTTCCCTGGACTCTTCAGGGGTCTGGGTAGGAGTCCTCCCCCTCTCGCCACCTCTTCAACTCACCGTAGCCTCCCTGAACTTTGATGTCAGCCTCTGCTCCAGCCTAAGGTGAGGCTCCGCTTCTCCTGGCACTCACTGCTGTTCCTGTTGAGTCAAGGTCAGCTGGTGTCTGGGCTCCGGGATCCCTTTGCTCCCTCTGATCCTGAGTCGGGTCCCACTTCCCCGATCCTTCTCTCTGGAGGCTCTCTCTCTTGCAGCGCCTCTCTGTGCTTTCCACTATGGTGCCCGAAGGCGTCCCTCCTCCTCTTCTTCTCTGTCTTATCCCCCGTAGTCTAGTCGCCATTGGCTCCTTAGGGGCCAGGGCCCGCCCTCCTCGCGGGGTAATTATTTCCAGCTGCCCCCGTTCCCTTAGCAACAGGGTCTCAATGGAGACCCTGTTACAGTATCCATCCCGCCTGTGCATGCCTGTTGTACCTCCTCATCCTCCTGTGCAAGGATAGAAAACATGAAGCAGCCATGGTCTTTTTTCAGATCACTCTCACTGTCAAGGGAAGTGAGATGGAACCAGACAAACACCTAACTCAATGTTCTTACACTGAGCTTCCAACTAGGATTTTTTATCTAGAAATCTTCCTACATTTTTTAAAATTCTGTCAATTTGGCTATTCCAAAGGAGGGTGGGGAGAGGAAGGAAGGAAAAGACCGAAAAAGGAGAATGGGAGACATCCCTTTACGTATGGGCACGATATTTTTCACCTTCATCGTAGCAGATTCCAAACCTTCAGTATTTAATCTGTGAGTGACCTACAATGAGTTAATTCCTTTCATTGATATATCTCATGGGTATAAGTGAAGCCTGTCCTGTATTAAGGGAATCACATCCTTGATAAGTGATTTACACAATGCACATTCTCCTTCAAGTGTCAAGAGTCCAGTGATTTTTGGCTCAAATATCATCTGCTCAAGCAGTCCAACATCACTACAAAAAAGACTCCAACCTTCAAGGAACCCAGTGAGCCATACTCTGTGAGTGCTCTCCAAGTAGACACTACACTCCAAGCATTGAAAAGGTTGCAAAAAAATAACCCCACTAAAATGAGCTTTCCAGGTTGACACTGATCACTTGGCACCAGGAATAATGATGTGGCCAGTTCCAGCAATCACACTGGCAGCAGTCCAGCTGATTCACCATCAGCCTTGAAACCATTTCCTTCTCCACTTGGGCCAAAGAAAGGCAAAAAAGAGGAGAAGAAACGCCTGTAAGGACAAACTCAAGTACTCCACCAAAGAAGCAGTGCCAACTGGAAAGTCACCATAGACAACATTATTGGCAATGGCATATGAACAAACACCAACTATGGGGCAAATATATCTGCATGAAGCTGCCAAGTGACCTCCTATGGGGACAGGATGGTGATATGAGTGTCAACATAGCACAGGATGCCAGAACCGGAGCTGAGACACTGTTAGCACAATCCTTAAAAAAAAACTAGCTAGGTGTCTGTCTTGGATAAAAAGATGACCTCCTCACCCTAGTCACTGATCATATCACATTCTTTAACTAATGTATTCTTATAACACCATTGTGAGGAAGGGACCTGCTGCTATCCACATTTTTATAGACAGACTGAATGAGTAGCAGTTTCTGGAATACTGAGAGGTGCAAATACCACCCAAGACTCCATTCCAAGGAACAGACCCAGCTCAAAGGCTGCTAAACTAAAACATTTGAGGCAGAGGGCCAATTTATGATGCTTGAGGCTTTACACACCATCCCCCTATAGAAAACCCTATATCAGGCCTCACAGACAGGGCCCAAGCATCATTTCTTTGGGTCCAGTACAAACTTGTAAGGCAGGCCCCCTCCCACACACAATCCAACATATGTAAAATTTCATGAATCATGAAATAAAATTTTCTATTTTAATTCTGAAATTACATTCTACATTGATGACTATTTTGTAACTTTTTGGTTGTTGGTCCTAATAATGGTATTATTCAATCAATGTTTTGATTTTTTTGTTCTAATGGACCAACATGGCTGCAAACATTTTATAAATAGACCAATTCAATTTAAAGCTTTATTTGTCTGGCCTTTTTCATTGCAAAATCATGAATTCTCTCTCCAAAGTCAATTTTTCTTGCAAGTTCACACTCGATAGACAAAATAGCAAGGTGGCTTAACCGTTCTTGTCCCATAGTAGAACGCCTGCAGTTTTTGATGAGTGCTAGCTTGCTGAAACTTGTTTCAGCTTCTGCTATAGTCACTGGCAGTGTGCAAAAGATCCATATGGCTATGCACACCTCACTGAAAATTAATTGCAGTTGTTTTTTGTAAATCTCATTTA